AAATCATGCCCCACTGGGTTAAGACTGTAACTGCCTCAGGTGGTAGCTCTACCAACTATTGAATATGAATAAATTTTGTTTATCTCTTTTATCCCAGGAATCCAATTACTTTTTGGTAGAAGTCGTATATATTGAATTAAGGTACAGAAAAGTAAGCAAAAAATCTGCACCTCTTTGTTCAGTTGCTGTACCTAATACTTATTTGTTTATTAGAACAGCTCCATCATCGTAGAAATGCTACTTTCAAATGCCAAAGTCCACATTACAGATAAAACAAATGATTCTACTGCCAAATATAAAAAAAATTCATTTAAGAGCCTTGTAGAAAAATCTAAATATTATATTTACCAAACTATCTTTACTCTAAAATTCAACTTTTTTATTAAAATAATTTTGCACAAATGCACTTAACTCTATTTTTTAGATATAAATGTTATGTAAAAGGAAATGTAGCAGATAAATATAAAAACATTTTAAGTTTAATGCTTAAAATTATTACGAATTCATTTCTATCCCTTTTGTAAAACTTAATTAATTAAAACAATTTATTCGGCAACTTAGACAGTTTTCGAATTTAATTTTTCTTCATATCGCTCTTAAAAATAAATTTATGAGGTCATTTCTTAAAAGGGCTCAATTTTAAAAGTTCACTTAAGTGCAAAGTGATTTTTCTTTATCCCTAAATCCTAGAATTGCAGAATAAATTTGCTGATTCCCTGCACGAAATAATGTTAATCAAGCACACAAACGCTTAATTGAATTCAGTCATGAAAGTAAAAGAAAAAAAAAAGGAAATAAAGTTCATTTGAGGGTATTTTTATTCGACGCGTGATCATAGGCATAGCTTCTCCCTCATAAACCCTATTATTTCTCTTCTTTATCTTAGCATTTTTTAAAACATTTTTTTGCAGTCTGAAACATTTGCATGCAATAGTGCTTCCTCTGTTTCGCAAAAGAAGCACAAAATATGCCTTCCCATTAACTTCGATTTGTTAAATCAACAACTTATCACTGAGGTGCAAACCCCACAGGACGAAATCTAAGCAAGACATTAAAAGAGTAAAATATATGCTAGAGCGAGCGTGTATGCCTTTTTTCTCTATCTCTTTTCTTCTTCTTTTTTTACTTAAATTTAGCTGCAGCTAAATTACTTGAAGATTATACAAAAAAAAAGAATCAAAGAGATTGCAGAATGAGAAAGATATCTGTGTAAAAAGGCAAAAGAATGAAAGCTCTTTTAATGTCTTTATTCGATTTTTTTTTTGTTCAATCTTCTTTTTTTTCTTTGTTCTTGTTTTCGGAGAAGATTGCAGAAGCGCTTATATTCCTTTAAGGCAAGTTTAATTACATTTGAAATTACCAGGCTAAATTGGTGGTATTCTAAAGTCTTTCGCGAGCTCCGCGATATATCCTGGTGGGATTTTTAATTACACTCGCTATTCAGAGAAATTGATGAAAATATTTTCAAACATAGTATTACCGTTGTTTTCCTTTCGCTTCAACGGAGATGTATTCTTTTTTAATAAAAATGCCACAAAAGAAATTTAGAAGAATTTAGAAGAGGAACGTTTAAGAAATTCATTTCGTAATGGGTTTTGAAAAAAAAAAATTTTTTTCCTTGAAAATATTTCCTTGGCATCAAATAAAAGAAATATTTTACCGCTACAAGTTGTCTTAGTTTTAAAGAAATAAAATATGATAAAATTCTTCAAAATAGTGTGTCCTAATTTCTTAAGAACTAGATTTGTAGGGGAACACGTAACGCTTAAAAATCCACATTTGTCAAAAAGTATTGAGTTAATTAAATATCATTAATACATAATAACACTAAAATAGGATATTTTTAAGTCATATAAGATATTTAACCATGACTAAATCTTTTTCTAAGGAAAATTCGTTAAATGCTTTACTCTTTTCTCTTCAATTTAAAATGCCTCCTATACAGGGTGCATCAGTACAGTGGTAACAATCTTTTAGGATAGATTGAGTGCATCTATAGGCTGGAAATCACATAGAACAGTGTTTCTCAAACTGTGAGGTGTGCCCCCTTTTGGGGGGCTCTACGAGTGGGGTGCGAACATATTGAAAAGTCGAAAACAAAAGTTAATTTAAAAAAATTATTTACTGAAAATAAACAAACAACAAATACATTCTGACATGATAAAATACAAATTTACACTTATTTATAAATGTATCAGGGCACTGCACACACTGCATTTAAAAAAATTAACAATACTAAGTTAAGAACAAGTTTAATAATTACCAATGGCCCCATGGGCTTGTCATATATAAAATTATATGCAAAAATTAACACGTATCTTGATAATATGTACGGTTTATAATTGATTCCTTAACTGGTGATTAAAAGTTACGCGATTCGTTCCCCAGTGCCATCGGTTTCCTCGTAGGCATGCGTATTGCGTATGTGATGTATCGGGGGTGGGGGGAGAAGAAAAGGAATAAATAAGCAAAACCTCTGAAATAAGTACATCTTCCGCAAACAATACCAAGGTCCTTTTATTGCATTCCAAAACCTTCGGAATAATTTATGGATTGCAGTGCACAGAATACAGCCTTCAGACAGCCGTATATATACGAAAATAACGCTTTAGTTGATTGAGACGTTTATATACGCAGGCGGCACTAAGAGGTCTCAGGGGTGTTAAATTTTTCTAGAGGTCTTAAAATATAAAAGATTTTCAAACGCGTATAATTCTTTTAAATTTAAATTAAATGATTCGAATCTTTTACGTATTATTTAAAATAGAATGGGGCTTCAGAAAAGTATAAAATGTTCAAAATATAATAATAATTTTAAAAGTCACAAGCATATAAAAATTATATAATAAATATTAAGTATTTTTTGCTTTGCGCACGCTATTTTCTAAAATATTAGCCTCTGATGTATAAAAGTTTATAGAACTATACAATGCAGCATACTCTTTAAACCCTACCTAATTTTAGTATTATATATCTTTTGTATTTCAAAATATTTGTAAAATATTGCAATTTTTTAAATATTTTTTAAAAATTTATAGTTTTTATTTATTAAAATATGTAAGTTATTATTCTATTTATATAAAAGTAGCTACAAAGTATTAGGAATACATTTGTCTTTATAAATCAACTTATAGCTAGTAATTAAACCTACTATTTTAGAAAATAACATGCGTGACGTAAAAAACTTAATAAATATTTCTTATAGAAAAGTTTCTTATTTTTATATGCTTATAATTTTTTAAATTATGATTATATTTTAAATTGTTTATACTTTTCTGAAGCTCCATTCCTTTATAAGTAATATGTAAAAGATTCGAATTATTTAACTTAAATTTAAAGAAATTATACCTGTTTAAAAATTGTTTATATTTTCAGACCTCCAGAGAAATTTAACACCCCTGTGACCCCTTTTAACAGGTATAAATCGTATTGCAGCTTTAGCATCAAAGTATAATATTATTGAATTCATTCCATTGTTGTTGTTTGGAGAGGAAGCGCAATGAAGATTTTGATTGAATATGTAGTCGGAAGTATTGAAAGCTTGAGAAGCACTGGCATAGAGCAATGCATAGTCGGAAACTCTTTCATGGCGTGGTAGTGATGACACAAAACACAAGACAGATAGGGCATGAGTAAGAGGAGAAAACATGTTTATTATTCTTGGAACAGCAAAAATGCTGGGACGTCTTAAGCTGGTGTACGCCATAGATGGTGCTACGTAAGCCAAGGTATTGTTTGTCCAGTGCATTGGCCTGCTCGATAGCCAGATTTTACTTTATATAATTACTTCTTATGGGGTTCATCAAGTCACTGGAATACGAAGCTCCTTTCAACAGTGTTGATGGCATTGTAGTAATCAACGTGGGAGCTGTTAAGGAAGTCCGGCACCAGCCTGGTGTCCATATTAACGTTCGATCTTCAATTTGACGGTCATGTGAATCCTACGTCACTACCCAGGGTCATAATTTCGAACATCTACTTCGAAGACCATCGTTGTCTCTTTCGCGTGTCCTTTTTTTCTTAGCATTTTTCTGTACTAAGGAAAATAAACGTGTTTTCTCCTCTGATTCACGTCCTGTCTTCCTTGTGTTGTGAGTCGTCACTACCGCGTCAGAAAAGAGTTTCAGAACTTGTAATGCTGCGTGATTTCCCATCGTCTAGGTGTACTTTATCTGTCTTGATAGTTTGTAACCGTTATAGTGATCCACCCTGTTTGTAAAATTTTATTTGAAAACTACAAGACTTTAAAGAGGAATTATTTGCCGTATAATAATAAAAAAAACGTAAGTTCAATGATTTATATTTCATAATTTATATAAATTGTCAACAAAAAATATTAAATATTTAAATTTTCTCTCTCTTTATTAAAAAACAACAACCAAGAATACATTTTTATTTAATTTTAAGCTTAAGTATGAATAACAACTTCTAAAAAAATATATTTTTGCTCGTTTAAAATAATAAAATAACCACTAGGGCAGTGTTCCTCAAACTGTGGGGCGCGAGCATATTCAAAATTCGAAAACAAAAGATTACTTAAGAAAATTATTATTTTATAGAAATTAATCAGACAAAATATATTCTGACATAATAATAAAAAAATTAAACACACATTTACACTGATATAGCACAGTTATAAATGTATCAGTATTGCACAATGTATTTTATAATTAATTTAACAAAGCTAAGTTAAGAACAAATTTAATAATTACCAGTGACCCCCTAGGATTGTCATATTAAAAATTATATAAAAAAAATTGACATTTATCTAGATAATTTGTACGGTTTATATATAATGTTGTTGTGAGTTTTTATCCTGGGATACATATGAAGTACAAGTAGAAGAACATAAACATACAATACAAACAGAAGAATATAGACATTTATTACAGATGATGATCCCAGCATATATAACAAGAAGGGGTGCGCTGCTTTCCATTCGAGACAGGAATCCACTACAGGCAAAAGTTCGACTTCTTTTCCCGAAGAAAATAAAACCATCCCTTACTCGGGATTCGAACCCAAACCCACTCGGTTACAAGCCGAGGGTCATGTCCACTATACTGATTGGGTGGATACGGTTTGTAATAAATTCCTTAACTGCCGGTTAAAAGTTACGCAAATCGCTTCCTAATGGCACCGTTTTCCACCTAGGCGAGCTTATGTGATGTATTGGAGAGGGGCGGGGGGTTGAAAAGATTAAAAATAAGCAAATCCTATGAAATAAGTAAATCATTCACAAACCCTGTTATTCTATTTTTATTGCTTTCCAAAGCCTTAGGAATAATTTCATGGATAGCAATACACAGAAAGGATCCTACTTCGGAAATACATATATACAAACGAGACAATTAGCGTTTTAGTTGAGTGAGACGTTTATATACGTCGGTGGTACTTAAGAGGTTAAATTCATGTTGTAGCTTTAGCGTCAAAGTGTAGTGTCATTATATTCAATACAGTGTTGTTGTCTGGAGGGGAACGAGGCGCAACGAAAATTATGATTAAATATTGGGTCGCAAACAGTGAAATTTTGAGAAGCATTGCATTAATGGGAAAAAAATGAAATCCCGACTGCAAGCATTTAGTTTGTAGAATAATATTAAACCACTTGGCACTATGCTTCTTAATTTTATTCCACTTATGACTTCCGGATTAGATAAATACTTTACCGCACCTTTTTTTCATAGCTTTCATTTTTCTCACCACTATCCAAAATTTCTTTGTTTTTATATATATTACTAAGAGTTTAAAGAAAAAGTTTCACAAAACGTGTTCTATCAGCAGAGGGTTCATTGCTGCAAATTCGTGGCTGGTAATGTTGAGTAGCGGGTTCTGGTCCTAAGGTTACTAAAACCTCGCTGTGTATAGGGACTAACGTATGTTAAATCAGTCTGGGCTCAAAGTCCTCTCAATGGCGTGGTGAAGAATTTGAAAAGAAGGGGTAATAATCTCACATATTGTCATCGTCACTTGACCGTCGTTCAAAATCACGAGGTCCATTTCCATCAGTGCGACACAAATTGGAATCAAATTAACAACAAGGTAATACGTACAAGGTTATGTACTTTGTACTTGATCATCCTGAATAGTATTTATTGTAAACGATTGCAAATAAATATTAAATACTGTCACACAAATTTATATGTATGGAACATGTTCTTCGAAGATACGACTATTGCATGTATTATAAGTTCTTGTTCCGTATCTTTGTTTCTTAAGCTCAACTTTATCTTATTTCTTTCATTTTTGTTTAAGCTCCTTGTCACTTAAGAATGCATTTCTCTTATACCTTTAAGTATAGAACGTAAAAAGCTCTAAATTTGAAAAAGATTGCAATTGAAATAATTTTCAGACTTTGTACTAAAAGGATTATCTTATTTATACCGGTTAATTAACAACATTAAATCTCCTTCTAACATACGTTTGTTTTCATAATATTTACTTTTAAAAAATCGTTAAACAGTATTGTTTTTATGTATTCCTATTTTAATATTTTAACTGAAAAGCCTTATTTATATTTTTTTTTGGGGGTAATATGTTTATTTTTTTCTTGTTTTTCTACATTGAAGTACTCCATCATTTAAAAAGTTTTTATCTTAAAATAAATTAAAATTTTATTCTTCATTTGTACATACGTTGCAGACCTTTTATCGGTGATATTTCTTTCGCAAATTTTTATCTTACTAAAAATATCAATCATAGGAAGAAAATATAGAAGGAAAATATTTGTACATTTATGTACATTGTCTGAAACAAGCATCTATAGACATACATAAATATTTCTATTTGCAAGTTCCTAACGTAAGATACGTGATGAATGACATAGAATCTTCTACAGGTTGCTTTCTTTTCCCTTTGTAAGTCGTATAACGAAAAAATGTATATACAATGCGAAAGCAAGAGTCAGACTAAGATTTTTGCAGTTTTTGTAATTTTATTTCATACTTTTTCAGCCCCAAGTACATTTATGAAAGTCATACCCTAAAAAGTTCAATAAAAGTAAACAGAATTGATTCAATTTGCATTTGCTGAGACTTTGTGAAGATGAAAGTTCATTGTAAAATATTACTTAATAGACTTATGACTACATATTTTTATATACTTGGAATATTTCATAACTTGCTTTTCATTGCCCTATAATTTACAAAAGATATGAAATGTAAGATATTAAATTAAATTAAAAACTGAAGTTTTAAAATAATATATGCAAACATTATTCCATTAATAGGCTAAAACTTTTAAATTGTAAAAATCCATTTATGTTATATTCACAAACAACAGAAATAACGCAACGCACATTTTAACATTTAACAATAATTATAGTTTATAAAAATATATATTGACTTTTAACACACAATTTCTGAAAAGTGATAAATTGATTTAAGAGTATTTTGGACTTGAGTAATAGGATTTCAGCCCAAGCCATTAACGTGTACAAAATCAACTGTAAAAAATCTCTCTTTTAATGCAATTAATCTTTGAAAATTGTCTGATATATATCATTTTCATAAATGTATATATATATATATATATATATATATATATATATATATATAAACATGCAGTTATGACAATTTTTAACAAGCACATCAATTAATTTTTAACTTATTTAATAGATATTTAAGTGATTTAATTCAAATATTTTAATAAAGATTAAAATAATTTTACTTAATAACATGATTCATTGTAGATGCATTTTTAACCTTAATAGTTTGTTAATTATGGTAAATATAATGTAAGACAGATGTAGCCAACCCAAATGACCTTACGGGCCGCTTCAGAAACACATTATAGCCTCATGGGCCGCAATTAAAAATATGTACCTTTATATCAAATTTGGAAACAAAAAATATAATTGGAGTGAAAATTTAAAACAGGGAGAAGGATTATTATTTTTCATTATTTTTTTCATGTATACAGACATAGATAATATAATAATGTTAAAATAATATAATAATGCAATGGTCAAATGATTTTTAAAATATTACAGTTGCCATTTTCTTGAAAGTTATGGTGTTCCTTTTGAATTGATCTTTCGTTACTAATTATTGAAATTTGATTATGCTGTCATTCACAAACGATTTAGTATACATTGCCATTTACCTTAACCGTCCTGGATATTTTTTTAAACTTTAAAAAAACATCTCTGACAGCTTCTTGCGTTTTGGGCACTTCAAACAGAAAAGAAGGAGGAGAAATGAAAGTCGCACACAGAGAATCATGAACCATCCATAGTAAAGGATATGCATAATGCAATCCGGAAATTTTTTAAAAAGTAATTTATTATAGTAAAATCAAATGTAACTCTTTGATAAAGTAGAAATCTCTTTTAATGTAAAGGACATTTCTGTTATCAAAAAGGATTTATTTTAAAACAAGAATAGGTCACTGGCAAATACATTGGACATTTACATTTATATATATATATATATATATATATATATATATATATATATATTTCCCCTCAAATAAATTTCCAAAAAAAACTTGATATTTAAATTTTTTTTAAAATTAGTTGGTGGGCCGCAACTTATGTACTGGCGGGCCACATGCGGGCCGCGTGTTGTACATCTCTGATGTATAATAATATATAATATGATAAATCTTCAATACAAACATTAAACATGGTTTCAAAGATTTGATAACAGTAATTTTTGTACTGCTTCTTTTTTTTTTACTTCTGAAAAGATGAACCTCAAATTGAACCTAAAATAGATTTGACTAAAGTATGACATAAAAATGTTTCCAAATTATCGCATGAATATACTCATGAAATAAATTATGATCTTTAAGACATGAAATCAAAATGCTCAAAAACATTTTTACTATTTCTAAGATACTGACAATTTTTAAGGAAAGTCACATCAGAGTGGTTATTAATAAATATGATAGAATTCCTTTAAAAATTACTTACTTTTTACATATTTAAATAAAATTTATTTATTTGTATTTGAAAAAACAAAGAATTAAGTAGAAAAAAATGCTGATCAATATTCACACACGTGTCAAATATTATTCGAACAAAAACAACCTTCTTCCTAAAATTTGTAAATTACTTTGTTCAGTTTCAGAATTTAATATATATAAACACACAATTTAAATTTCTTATTCTTTAATTGTTTTTTCTTTGTTCTAGCTTTTAAAGCCTTGCAGAACGATTATTTTTATTAATTATACTTATTTTTTTACACCTTGTGTAAACCTTAAGAACATTTTATGTCCAATAATTATAAGTTTATTCAATAAAGAAGCCGTTTAACTATCGACAAAAAGATAGTCACTTCGCTTTTCAGTGCTATCGTTCACATAGGTGCAGGTATGCAGCGGATTGGTGGGAAAAGAAAGGGCACACATAAACAAAATTTTCTCTCAAGTAAGTAAATCCTTCACAAACAATGCCTAGGTCATTTTATTGCAATAAAAAACCTTCAGAATAGTTTACTGATAGTAGCGGAAAAAATAATAATATTTCAGAAAGCCGTATTTATACGTCCTGCACACTCAATGCACCGGTTGAGCGAGACGTATATATACGCCGGTGGCAGTTTAGGGGTTAATAGTTAATTATTATTCACTCATATACTACGAGTTAATTTACGATCAAATAAAAACTAACTTAAGAATGATTAGGGATCAGTGATCGAAGATATTTAAAAAATGTAGGGCATAGAAAAAAATTATTTTAACTGCTTAACTCTACAAATATCTAATAAAACTATTAGATATTTATAGGTAGTGTATTAATTATAACCAAAAATAACTTTGATCCAAAAAGATGGGAAGTTAATGGATTTGTTTCAGCTAATTGAACAAGAAACTTTTGGAATGGAAGTGATAAATGATGCATGTCTACCTGATTCCCTTTTTCATTAGAGTACCCCTTCCAGAGAACCCTTCAACCCCTTTTAGAACGGGTTAATGACCCCCAGCAGTGAATGTACTTCATTTTGCTGACTCACAGAGCTAATCTATAATTATCTAACGTAATCTTTTATTACAATTTTTCCTCGGTTAAATGGACGTAGGAATTACTTTATCTCAGGATGTTTTGGCAGAAATTTGTCAAAGATAA